AATATATAGACATATATATATTTACTTACATACTTAAGTACATACATACTTAAACACATATGTACATACATACATACATACATACATATAGATATATATATATATATATAAATGTATATATATATGTATATATAGAGATAGAAATAGAAGTAGAAATAGAAAATTAGAAATAGAAATAGAAATAGAAATAAATATGCATATATATATATATATATATATATAGTATATGTATGATTATATATGGCTGATTATGGTGCGATTGTATTCAGTCGGATCGTCGGCTCTAATTATAATACGATTGAATTGCTCACTCAATACCTGTATCTGCGCTTGACCTCCATCTGATATAACTTCCTGCAGATTCCAGCATTATTCCATGCTTCTCTACAATGATTTTTGTTAAATGGATGATGTTTGTGTTCAATGTTTACAGTCTGAGTGCCTCATCAACCTATAGAGCTGAAACGAGGAGTGTGTATGTCAGAGTCCAGTATGTCAAGATTCTTCAACCTTTCCATTGAGAAGGTCGGGAGCGGGTGGGGGTGGTGGGTGTACTGATGTCGGTGGTGGTCTGATGGTTATTTGTGTGTCTGGATGCTGTGTGTCTGGATGCTGCGTCCTTTTAGCATACTATCGGATTCCTATATCTTAAAAAGTATCTAACAGTTGGCAATTATTCCATGTGTTATATACGTTGATGGGATTTGGACGGAGCAAGCGTAGCTGTGTGTGTTTGCAGAGTGTTGTACCAGATGTTACATCTTACGGCTAATTTAGACAAATTAATGAAACGGGACGTGTTTGTGTATCCATGCTTGAGTCCAGCTCAATTATGTAAGTATAATAAGAGACCAAGCGTAACAAACGACGCTGCCCTTCTAATATAATTTTTCAGACTTCGGAACGATTGGAGACATACTGAAGTGAACTTGCCTATTCACGCTATCGCCGGATCCGTTTGTCACACAAGTGAGTTTCTATTTATTATTTATAAATAGTTACCTCTGGTGTATACGCTGTCAATTGTCAACAGGTTCAAATCAAACAAGGCGACTTCGAATTCAAGACAATTTATTTATGACGTATGGATTAAGATTTTAAAACAGACATTCACGCGCCCTTTAGTGAAGTGGTTAACACGTGTCCCTCCTAAGGACAAGACCTGCGGTTCGAATCCGCAAAGGGCAAAGGTTTGTATTTTTTTCTCGTCTTTTATATTTGTATTGATGCAGAAGGCTATGAATTCCTAAACAAAAAACAAAAAAACAAAAACGAAAAGTAAGGGAGATACGCAGTGCGCACTTTTTATTTATTTGCAACATTTGTCCACACATGCCATTGTGGAATCAGTTCGGTCCTTGCACCGGGTGTCCTTTGACTTTTGGTCATAGTAGGTTCCAATGCGGCAACGACCTTCCCAGTCTTTGCATTTGATGATTGAGGGCTTGGCAGGTGGGGTTGGCGCTACGAGGGGCTTGCAGCACTCATCAACGCAAGCCATGGTCGAGCTGGTTCTGTCCTTGCACCTGGTGTTCTTTTCGCTCAGGTCATAATAGGTTCCAAGACGACAGTTTCCATTCCACTCTTTACATTTGATGACGGAGGAAGGTTTAGCGGAAGGGGAGGGTGCAACAAGTGGCTTGCAGCATAGGTCCACACACGCCATGGTGGAGTCCGATCTATCCTTGCATCTGGTGTCCTTTTCGTTTCGATAGTAGTCGGTTCCTACGCGGCAATTCCCATCCCACTCCTTGCATTTAATGATGGACTGTGGCTTTGGGGACGGAGACGGTGCAACAAGCGGTTTGCAGCATAGGTCCACACACGCCATGGTGGATTCGGATCTGTCCTTGCATCTAGTGTCCTTTTCGCTTCGATCGTAATCGGTTCCTACGCTGCAATGTCCATCCCACTCCTTGCATTCAATGATGGATCGTGGCTTCGGGGACGGAGACGGTGCAACAAGCGGCTTGCAGCATAGGTCCACACACGCCATGATGGAGTCGAATCTGTCCTTGCATCTTGTATCACTTTTGCTGTAGGTGGTTCCAGTGCGGCAAAGGCCTTCCCAGTCTTGACACTTGATGATGGATGACGAGGATGAAGCTGTGGATGCGGCCATACCAGCCGAGCAAGCCACCGTTGCGAAGTATAGTATTGTGGTTGTGTATTTCATGTTTTAAAGTCTTTGTTCGAGTGTGGATGTATTATTGTGTGTTCTTTACAAAGAGTGTTCTTTATATAGTGCCAACACGCAGCATGCCCTAATATCTCGCTGTACCACTGTACTCATCCGCGTCGATCCTGGCACCAATGACGGACACGCACACTCAATATGTTTGAACGTCGCGTGTCCACCCGCAACAACATTCCGTCCCACACGATTCGCGTCGACCACTTCTTTCGACTCACTACTACTACTACTCCGTTGTGTACCAGTGGTGTCTAGGTCCAGAACAACTGTTTTAGGGTTTAGGGTTGTACTAACAGTAATGATAAAGTCGAAATAGAATAAGTTGAGGGGTTGTTTATTTATTTGTGGTATATACATTTCACACCTACACCAGAGATTACTTGACGACAGAGTTTATCATTTCGCTTTCGTTGACTACATCTATTTGTCCCCGGGGATTTAGGTGTTTGAGACTTTTGTTTGGTGGTATGTACACAGTCCGTTCGCCAACAGTTTCGTCTGACGACACGGCTTCCCATTGAGTTTTACGGTCGGACACCTGGGTCCTCGGGGGTTTTTGGGGTTTAGTAATGTATTAACCGGCGGCGGTGGTCCGTACATCTCGGTTAGTTTTAACAATAATGAAAATAATCTGCGACGAACAATAACTACATTAAAAAAACATTATACTTACATTTTATTGAACATGTCCTTTTTTCATAAAAAAACCCTAAACCTTATGTGAACATCAAAGGGCCAGGGGTTTAGAACCTCTTTGATCCGACTAAAACTAAACATTACATAGGGGTTTGGGGTTTTAATGGCGGTCGCGTCACTGGATTGCGGAATCCGACTCTTACGTGACCCGTAGCTTGCACACACTCAACCTGCCCTCGACCAAGGTAACAAACGTCGACGCCCTGTACATATGAGATTCGTCTGGTATAATGAGGGAACGTGCGTTGGTTCCGTTTGACTCGAAAAACAAAATACGACCCTTTGTTGTGAATTTTGTCTGCCAACGCGCAACTGAAGTAGCCCCTGTCGAAAACATACATGTCACCAGTCGACACAAACCGGGCCAAGAAAGCATCACGCTCGTTGTGTGAAACGAATACTTGAGAATCAACAACACTATGCGAATGACAGTCGTACATTGTACTAACGAGGGCGTGTGGATACTTGCGACTATTTCGCGACACTTTAAAGTTTGTCTTTAATTGGGGACGTAGTCGAACGAAAGAGCCGTCGACAGCGATAGTTCTCATTCGGAGAGAGTTGTTCACAATCGGCGTCTGAACGCGTAATATTGATTCTAATACATACCGAGGAATTCGATTCATTGCCTTTGCCATTGCTGTAGCAGAACACGCGCAACCTGACATTGCGACAGCAGCACGGACACCGACGTTAAGTACGCCGGTGAGAATTGAGTGTATTGGCCAAGATAAACAATCATGAAACCGTGGATAGGAAAACATCTGAGAAAGATTAGTGTGGAGAGGAAAAAGAACATGTTACAAACAGCTTCCGAAATATAGTAGTTACGGAAACATGTTTAATAAACAGTCCCTAAAATGTAGTTAGGGAATATGTTTAATAAACAACTTGTAAATTGTGGTCGAATATAAGTTTAATAAACAACTTGTAAAATATGGTCCAATTTATGGGAAGGACGAGAGATAATTCAATCGTGGAATTCTACAAGCACTTTCGAAATACGTAGAAAATAAATAACAGAAGCAACATTTAAATTTCCCAGTACTGTTCACTGTCCAGTGTTGAGCCGCTGATCAGATCCGCTGTACAAGTATGTATTAGTCTATGAAATTTTTTTATATGTAATGGAGTGATGGACGGAGGAGTTGTTTTAGACACCGACTAATTCTACAGCTACAACGCCTACAAGTAGCAGTAGCTCATGCTGGCCTGCAAAATAGTTACGTCTATTGTTTATTTTTAAAAATTCGATATTTAATAAAATTACCAGAGATCTACAATTCTACATAAGAATAAGACAACAAGAGGCATATACTCATAGATCAAAACCAAAAAAAGTAAAAAACAAGAACATAAATGAAATGCCAATGCTGAATACATATGTACATACTACATACATACTGGAAAACTCTAAACGACACTCCGACAACCGACAGTACACAATATTTAAAAAAAACAAACAACAAAAAAGAACAAAGACAGACCTGGCTGTAAGTGTATGTAGCTCTTTCAATTTTTTTTTTTGATATGCATGTCGCCTGCCTCACACAATCACAATGACACTTAGGCTGTGACTTTACAGGCATAGCCAGCCCCGGCCGATAGCCTCTGAAAAAATATATATGATATGTACACATTTGAAAGGCAAAGCAGGTTGGTGAGAAAAAAAAAGTTCACAACTTACAACTCGAGGAGTAGTAGTTGTTCTCTTTTATTTTCTTTCATCCAACGAGAAGCGTTATTAAGCCTACTCTGTACTCTTTAGACCTTATTTGGAGTAAAACAGAGTAAGTGAAAGTATGTATTAACTCTTTTTGCTTTATATAGAGGAACGCTCGAGCTACTTTTTTAAAACTTGCATATGTTACATATAACTTGTACGTAGTGCCAGATTTGAGATTTGAGTTTGAGCTACTTTTCAACCCAAATGAGATCGAGATTGGTGATGATATCCGAGCAACGAGTCCATCTACAATTTAAAAAAAAGAGGACGTAACATTCAAGTTGTAGACAAGGAGAAGTCAAGAGTGAAAAGTGGCGAGTAATGATCAAGTTGCAAAATCTTCAATTTGCTTGTGCAGACTCTGCAGCGGCACCAGTAGCAATTTGTAAGCTGATCTATCTATCACTCATTTCACTATATATAGCTGCGTCAGGGGCTACCTCATATCATACAAATCAGACAATCTAAAACAACAAACTCAAATATCAACTTGTAAAACATGAAATACACAACCGCAATACTATGCTTCACAACGGTGGCTTGCTCGGCTGTTATGGCCGCATCCACAGCTTCATCCTCGTCATCCATCATCAAGTGTAAAGACTGGGAAGGTCCTTGCCGCATTGGAACCGACTACAACAAGAGCGATACAAGATGCAAGGACAGAGCCGACTCCACCATGGCGTGTGTGGACCTATGCTGCAAACCGCTTGTTGCACCGTCTCCGTCCCCAAAGCCACAGTCCATCATTAAATGCAAGGAGTGGGATGGGCATTGCCGCGTAGGAACCGACTACGATCGAAACGAAAAGGACACCAGATGCAAGGATAGATCGGACTCCACCATGGCGTGTGTGGACCTATGCTGCAAGCCACTTGTTGCACCCTCCCCTTTCGCTAAACCTTCCTCCGTCATCAAATGTAAAGAGTGGAATGGAAACTGTCGTCTTGGGACCTATTATGACCTGAGCGAAAAGAACACTAGGTGCAAGGATAGAACCAGCTCAACCATGGCTTGCGTTGATGAGTGCTGCAAGCCCCTCGTAGCGCCAACCCCACCTGCCAAGCCCTCAATCATCAAATGCAAAGACTGGGAAGGTCGCTGCCGCATTGGAACCAACTACGACCAAAAGTCAAAGGACACCCGGTGCAAGGACCGAACTAATTCCACAATGGCGTGCGTGGATATGTGTTGCAAACCTCAGTAAATTAAGGTCTGTCGCCATGAATAGGTTTCTGAATATGCAGAGCGCAATACTTGTAGCTATATGTCCGACCTGCAGCCAATAAAATTACTACTCAATAACTGACTTTAGGTTACCTTTAAAGATTCCGTCTTGTGCGAGTCACACAGTATTTCTCATAATCGGTAGATGGCACCAGAGATGTTTGCACTAGTCCACGTGCTAGATTTTGGTATCTGTAGCTATGTAGCACAGCAGAATGAGTACACGACTAGCGAAAAGCTCATGGGGAATAGTCCACTTCTGGAGACACTGAGATTCACAGAAATTGCATTGTTGCGTACTTCCGCATTCCAATCCCATATAATTGTCTCAAACTACCTGATAGAACAAATCAGTCGCGGAAACTTGTACTACATGTAAACCTTGGGTGGCCCTAAGGTACTGGAATACATTGTGAGCTGGACACACGTAGTAGGATGATGAGAAATTGGATCATTTAATCCATAGTGGGAAGTAACTCGTCTTTTTGGGCCACTGTTTCATTGTTGTTGGTAAAGGTACTTTGCTGCCACGCCAGTCATTGATAATTTCTCTCTCGGTCACAACCGATCCAAAACGCGAATTCGATGGTATTTAAGGGGTGATTAAACCCTCGACTAAATGGTTTATTATTCATCGCACGTCGATGCCCGGTATACTTTTGATTGCCGCTCTCACCAAACCTTACCACGGGTTTCTGGAGACATGTACATCTTGTCTCCCTCTGTGATACCAAATGCATCCAAGAAGGCCTGCAGATTCCTCGGAGCCTCCGTTGCTCGTGCTTGACCGGGCGAGTGTGGGTCAATCGCTAACAGCTGTGAGAGAGCATCAAATAGCAAGGCTCAACATGCGATCATGCGCCAGTGCTTTACCAATGGATCTCAGATGCCAGATGAAACGCCGCAGTGGTGAATAATGTGGTGTAATACGAGCTAGACACTTAGCTTCGCCTGCCCTAGTGCGATAGACCCCAACGGAGCGCGTCAGCACGCGCGTTCAAGGTAATACCAAACCATTCCATGGACTACACATACCCCATGTACGTTAAAATGCAAATATTGAAGTGTGCGTACGAAGGCCTATTGATGTGTATTAGAAGACACGGGTGATCATGTAATTATCAGTGTTGTACACACACCATGCAAATAGCATTGTACATATTGAAGTGTGCGTACGAAGGCCCATTGATGTATAATATAGAACACGGGTGATCATTCACGCAGACATACAATGGACCAATGTTGTACACACACCATGTAGATAGCATTGTACATATTGAAGTGTGCGTACGAAGGCCCATTGATGTATACTATAGAACACGGGCGATCGTTTTGATGTATACTACAAGACCCAGGTGATCATGCACGCCGAATAAACCCTAAACCCTGCCCGTCTGCGATCTAAAAATAGCCAAGCCATATTTGCGAGTGCAGTCGCAAGCACTTTGAGTGTTGTACACTCACGATTGATGGTATCAACGTATAGATTCAATCGGCTCTATGATGCCGACTTAGTGTCATATACTCGGCTAAATTTTCTTATAATAACGCTACACGCATCGACTAAAAAAATTTCCAAAAGTATACCCGAATTTTCATGTGAAATCTGATTTCGAACGCCAATTCGAAACATGTGTCGCACGGGTTCGCCGCAATTTTGCAAGCAAACGTCCCAAAATCAACACTTCCCAATGAGAGTAGGGTGGAGAACGCCAACGATACAACTTCCACATGTGATGCACGTTGGATCGTCTGCGTGAGCGCTAAAACCCTAAAACCTTGAACTGAGTCGTTGAGGAAACAAAAGTACAATACTGGTATGTATAAACAATTATCCGCACTTCTAACACACGCACACACATAGATACATGCATATATATATATATATATATATATATATATATATATATATATATACACACATATATACATACATACATACATTACACACAC